ATCCCTGCTGAAGGCGCTCGAACTGCCTCCGATAGGCCTCTCGCTGAGTAATGGGGAGAAACTTCTCCAGAAATAGCTGTGTGAACTGCTCCCATGTCAAGGCTGGAGATCCTGCTGGTCTAGCTAAACAATAAACCCTCCACCAGGTCTTGGCGGATCCAGACAACCGAAATGTAGTGAAATCAACCCCATTGGTCTCAACAATACCCATGTTCCGAAGAAACTCGTGGCAGCTGTCCAAATAATCATGAGGATCCTCAGTAGATGCACCGCTAAAGGTGGTAGTGAAGAGCTTGGTGAACCTATCCAACCTCCATAAAGCATCGGCAGACATTGTTGCCCCATCACCGGGCTGGGCTACCACACCTGGTTGAGTTGCTCCAACTGGCTGAACTGCTAGAGTCTGAATCGGGGGAGCTCCCTTCTCCGGAGTACGAGTAGCAGGAGTTTGGGCCCTTCCTCCACCCTGAGAGACGGCTGGTGCTACAGGAAGCAATCCTGCTCGGGTAACACTCTCCATGAGACCCACCAATTGGACCAGAGCGTCCTGAAGAACTGGGGTAGCAATAAACCCCTCTGGGACCTGAGCTGGGCCCACCGGAACTGCTGGGGCTGGGGCCGGAACCTCCTCGTCGAAGTCAACCTGAGGCTCCGACACTGGTGCTGCTGCTCGGGGCTGAGCTCTGCCTCTGCCTCGGCCTCTAGCACGGCCTCGACCTCGACCTCTGCCCCTAGCGGGAGCTGCCTAGGGCTTGGACTGCTGGTTAGAAGATGAGGAAGCACGTGTTCTCGCCATCTGCGAAAGAACATAGTAGAAATTCAATTAGCGTTGGGAAACCAAACCGCACGACAAGAAAGAACAAACGTGAAACTTTTCCTAACTCAGTAGCCTCTGGGTGATAAATACAGAGGTCTTTGTACCGATCCCTCAGACTCAACTAAGCTTGTCCGTGAGTTGTGAGACCTATGTAACCTAGAGCTCTGATACCAACTTGTCACGACCCGGATTTCCCACCCTCGAGAGTCGTGATGGCGCCTACTCGTGGAAGCTAGGCAAGCCAAGAACCTTTTCAAACATCAGCCTATCTCGTTTTATGCATGATTTACAATTAAATTATCAATGAATAAGCAGTTAAAAGACAGCGGAAAGTAAAGTTTAGCGGAAGTCTGAACTAAATATAGAAACAGCATCTAGAAAGCCAATACAAGTCTCTACCCAGCACTTGGTGTCACAATAATACAGGGACAGTCTAGGATTACTACAAATAAGAGTTTGAAATAAAGGAGATAGTCTGTATCGAATACAAATGTCAACAGAACATGAAAACTGAAAAAAGAGACGCCGGGCCTGCGGACGCCAGCAAGGCTACCTCGGAGTCTCGTGGACTGAAGGTCGGCTCCCTAACTACTGCTGCACATCGTAAGATGCTCCAACACCTGGATCTGTGCAAAAGAGCACATAGTGTAGCATCAGCACAACCGACCCCAAGTGCTGGAAAGTGCCTAGCCTAGCCCCGGCGAAGTAGTGATGAGGCTAGACCGGACTACCACATAAACCTATGCAGTTATATATACATATACAACGGAATTGAAATACAGGGACAAGTAATTAATATGGGAGGGTGAGCATGCTATGGGGAAAATAACAATTTCAAGTAAAAGTCGTGCAGTAACGAAGGTAACAACACAACTCAGACATTAATAAAGAAACATAAAGCAACAAGTGCACGACATCACCCTTCGTGTTTTTACTCTCATCCTCACTAAGCAATGATATAATAAAGTGTGCACGGTATCACCCTTCGTGCTTTTACTCTCATCCTCACCAAGCAATGATATAATAAAGTGTGCACGACATCACCCTTCGTGCTTTTACTCTCTTTCCTCACATATAATTGATATAATCGGCACGGAATGGTACATCGTGCGGCACGACATCACCCTTCGTGCTTTACATATAGCTTTACCCCGAGATTCCACCGCCAATTCGCTCGTATCTAATCACAAATTACTTAATACATTAACAAACACTAAATGAGTCAACCCCAATGCATGAAAATGAGTTATCCAAAGTTTTACCCAAAAAGTCAAAAATCGCCCCGGGGCCCACGTGGTCAATACCCGAGGTTCGAACCAAAACCCGATTACCCATTCCCCCACGAACTCAAATATATAATTTGTTTTGAAATCGGACCTCAAATTGAAGTCCAAATCCCCAATTTTTTTGAAAAACCTAGGTTCTACCCAAAATACCCAATTTCCCCATGAAAATCTTTGATTCGAAGTTGAAATCATGCTAGAAGATGTTGAGGGGTGAAGAAAATGAGTTAGAAATCACTTACCAATCGTTTTGGAGAAGAAAGGTTGTTTGAAAAATCGCCTCTTATGTTTTGGGGTTTTGAAAAGTGAAAAATAACTGAAATTTTCGTGTATTTATACCCCTCTGATACTCCCTGTGCGGACCACACAAAAAGGACCGCGGCCGCAGAGGCCTCCCTGAAGACCTGCAGATCATAGCCCCGTGCGGACCGCACAAAGCCAACCGCAGCCGCACAGCATCCACCGCGGACCGCCGAAAGGCGACCGCGGCCGTGCTGGCCCCTCCACGGCCGCACGCGATTCCTCGCGGACCACGCAAGAGGGTTCAGAGACCTGCAATATTTCCTGAACCTGCAACATCTGATCTTTTAAGTCTAAGGCATCCCAGAACCTACTCGAAACTCACCCGAGCCCTCAAAACTCTAATCCAGGTATACACACAACCTCAAAAACATCTTACGAACATATTCGTGTAATCAAATCACCAAAATAACATCATGAGCATCGAATTAAACCTCAAGATCAATGAAATTTCCAAAATCTCCTTTAAACATCAAATTCCCTCTTAGGGTCCGGATCACGTCAAACAACGTCCGTTTTTAACCAAATTTCACAGGAATGACTCGAATCACATATAAGATCTGTACCGGGCGCCGGAACCAAAATACGGGCCCGGTAACATTACTTTCAAATCAGATTTCATTTCAATTTTCCTTAGACATTTTCAGAAAACAATTTCACTTAAAAATTCATATCTCGGGCATGGGACCTCGGAATTCGATTCCGGGCATATGCCCAAGTCCCATATTTTCCTACAGACCCTCCGGGACCGTCAAATCACGTGTCCGGGTCCGTTTACCAAAAATGTTAACCGAGAGTCAAATTTCATTTCAAGGTTAAAACTTAGCAATTTTTTTTCCATAAAATGTCACATTTAAGCTTCCCGGCTACGCGCCCGGACTACACACGCAAATCGAGGTGACTCTAAATGAGGTTTTCAAGGCCTCGGAAGCACAGAATTAATTAATACAGGTGATGACCCCTTTTGGGTCGTCACAAATCTTCTTTTGGACTTATCCGTTACAAGTGAACCAGTCCCATTCAAAAGAGTCCCAACCGAATGGAAGTATCTAGATTCTAGGGATACACTCCAACGTCTCTTCAAAACTAAATTTCAGTTTAATTAAACTTCGAAAAGTCTGAAAAGCTGTAGTTACCCCATCAATTATTCCCCTCTATATTGATCAGCATTAGTGTATTCCTTACTTCATCTCTCTCAAGCCGTCAAAAACTCTCATTCTTCTTTCATCTTCCAAACATAATCTACTTGTCTTCTCTTCCATACCCTAGCCCAGATATGTCGAACACCTCTGAAAATCCTTCATCACCACCACAGGAAACCACTTCCACACCTTCTACAACACCAATCTCTAAGAAAAGTAGAATAAAGATGATGGCTCTAAGATTGTCGCTGAAGGAGAGCAGATCAAGAAAATAAACAAGCAATTGAAAGCAGGTAGGGAAGAAGAATCCTAGAAATCTAAAGATTCATTTAAGTCTGCTACTAAAGGGGAAGAAAGTAGGTCTTCCGAAACTGAACAAGTATCTTCTGATTCTAAAGTTACTCCTGAGATAATTTCTAAAGTTGCTGCAAATTTGGAGAATAGATTTGTACTGGTAGGATCTATAGCAGGTGTTGAGACTAAAGAATCTGGAGAAGTTGGTGGTAAAAATTAAAGGGAAACGAAAAAGAGAGCAAGGGTGCTAGGAGTACTGTGAGGGGAAAGGGTACAAAAGTGGTTGATTCTTCACCCACTCCTGTTGATCTAACAAAAGAAACTGGTGCAATGGTTGTTTGGGGAGAGGAATTTACTGAAATAGAAGAGAGTATGAGCAAAATAGGGGGAAGTGGGTCTGGCAAAGCTGCTGAGGGGTTGGTTCAACTTGGGAAAAATATAGATGAACCTGTTCCATCTGAACAGGAAACCATCTTGGACCTACTGATAGGGTTATCAATAGCACCAAAACTCATGCCATTCCCTATGGTTTCATTCTCACAATTGTGCTTGCACATTTAAAGGTACAAGTAAGGATTATTTTAGGGTTAATTCTCTGCTTGCTTGCGATTATGAAGTCAATGTCATTCCTAATGAACCTGGTTCATCTAAAAGGACACCTATCAATAGCAAGGTCAGAGCTCTATTACAGGAGAGTGAGGCAAAGGATGCTGAGATAGCAAGGTTGAAGACCCGATCAGTTGAGGTACAATCTAAGAGAGATGTTCTCAGAGCTGAACTTGCAAGGGAAAATGAGAAGAATGATGGAATTCTTCAAGACATGCTGAAACTTCTCCAAGCAAATAACCCAGCCCCTACCTCTTCCAAGCCTTAAATCCTAGCCTAGTGTAGATCAACCAGTGACCCAATTCAGGACTTTTTGTTTCTTTTGCTCATGTTTTCAATATTTTTATTTTTTTTTATGCTCTGTGGTAGAATCTTATCAATCATCAATGAAATTCACTGCCTTTTGCTCTAACTGTTTGTTTATATTTCTTTGATGGTTAAAATTCATATGTTGATCTATGATGATTAATCCATGTTTGCATTTGAAGTAGCCCCAGTGGCCATGAGTAAGTTTTAAAATCTGGTTATCTCAGCCGATTTTATTTCCTTGGTCTGTAGGTCTTGTATATAGCCGATGGTGTGATAATTTTACAAAGTAAGTTTGCCCTAGACATGCTTAAGGAATATGACTGCCTCTCCTACAGTAGCCTTTCTACACCTCTTGATCCCAATGAGAAGCTGAGGGCCAAAGAAGGAAGACCATTGTCGGATTCTGCATATTATAGAAAACTTGAAGCAAAGTTAAACTTCCTTACAAACACCAGACTAGACATAGCCTTCAGTATACAATATCTCAGTCAATTCATACAGGATCCCAAAGAACCACATTTGAAGGTTGTCTTTCACCTGCTTAGCTATTTGAAGAGTGATCCCACTCTGGGAATTTTTCTGTCCAATGACTCTGATTGTAGTCTGAAGGGTTACTGTGATTCAGATGGGGCAGCTTGCCCAGACTCTAGGAGATCAGTTACTGGATACCTAGTCCTACTGGGGAACAGTCCAATTTGTTGGAAGTCCAAGAAACAAAAAACAGTTTCCTTGTCATCTATAGAAGCATAATACAGGTCCTTGAGAAAAGTTGTAGGGGAACCGACTTGGTTGTGCAGACTCTTAGATAAACTCACTATCTCTTACCCTAAGACAGTCTCAGTTTTTTTTGTGACAGTCAATCTGCTCTGCACATAGCCAGAAATCCTGTTTTCCATGAAAGAACTAAACATATCGAGGTCGATTGCCATTTTGTGAGAGACAAACTTCATGAGGGTCTCATTTATTTACATCACACTGCTACTGGTGCTTAGCTAGCAGATGTCCTTACCAAAGCTCTCACTGATGTCAAACATTCTGCTCTCATAAGCAAGTTGGGTGTGATACCTTCACCTCCAACTTGAGGGAGAGGGGGAGGGGTATTGAGATGTATTTATGTTCTATGCTTCTATGTCTAACTTTTACTATCTTGTACTTTTAGCTTTACGTGTTATACAGTTAGTTACAGTTAGTTAGTTAGTTAGTGGCTTGGCTTAGCTGTCAGCTAGCTGTCAATTAACTGTTAGTTAGAGTTAGTTGATCTTGTCTTGTACTCGTGTATATATTCACTGTTACATTGCAATACCAATACACAATTAATTCTCTCATTTCTGAAATCTGACTTCCCCTCTCTCACGCGAAGTTTCTAGAATTCTTCAATGGAGCTCAGTCGAGAAACAAATCACTCACCCATGGTGTAAATTGACAATATCTATTAGTTGAGACATTTTTTTGTCTTAGAAAATGTCATTTTTAATTCTATTAAACAACCATATGAAGAGAGACAATAATTCAGCCGCTGGCTTGGCTATTAGTTTATGTTAGTTGTTTCGCTAGATATTGTCACGCTTATTCGTGATTTAAAAATAAAATATAGTCTATCTATATCTATCTATATCTATGTTATATTAAAAGCACGAAGGCCCTTAGCGAAATGTCGTTCGCCTTTTTTACCCTCTGTAAATGCACTTTATAATGGATAAAATTATAAACACAAACAAATGAATTTAAAAAAAAGAAGTAAAAATCTATATATATATATTAAAGCAAGGAAGTTTGCCTTCTCATTTAGCCAAGTGGCAAATTATTAGAATGCCAAGTGGCAAAATATTAAAAATATACATGACAAATTAATTTATTAAAAATCCAAGTTGTAATAGCAAAATTTTTTCGGTCTACAAACAATCAATCCTCCGAAATTTATTGCCTAATTTTCGGCAATAAAATAGTCAATCCTCTTTTGTAAAATTTTTACTTTAATAATCAAAAAATATTAAACAATAAAAAAAAATCGTGTGATCTCTGTCTTCCTAAAAAAACGGGTTTCATAACATATTTACCATCTAATCTCTTTGTCTTCCTAAAAACATTCCCAATTCTCAAGATTGCTTACCGTATGATCTCAAGATGAGAAGATACTCATCAACAATAACCAATGTAATGTTTACAAAATCATACTCAAGTAATACTTCCTCAGATCTGAATCTTTATTAACTAAAATTTAGGGATTTCTACATGGAAAGGATTCACAATCGAGGTATGTTTGTGCAGATGACTTTCCTCCTTAATTTTGGAATTTTAGATATAAACCCTAAATGTAGACTATTGTAATTTCATTAGAAATTTTTTCCGATATAAACTACATAAGATTTGTAAATATAATATATAAACCCTAAATTTCATAAGGACTTTTTTCGGCCTAGAAACTATTTTACGGCTCTTTTTATGGAAATTTCTTATTTATAGCAAGTAAAAGATTATGCCTATATATATATATATATATATATATATATATATATATATATATATATATATATATAGAGCAAGGTAGTCCTCTAGCAAATTTGATTATAAAGACAAAGTTGATTATTTGGGATGAGGCACCAATGATGCATAAATATTATTTTGAAGCTCTTGATCAAACTCTTAGAGATATTCTTAGATTTAAAGACACATTCAGTGCTGATAAACCTTTTGCAGGTAAAACACTTGTTCTTGGTGGCGACTTCAGACAATTTTGCCTGTCATTGCAAAAGGATCTAGGCAAGATATTGTTAACGCTACTCTTAATTCTTCGTATTTGTGGGCCCGCTGTGAAGTCTTATATCTAACAAAGAATATTAGGTTACAAAGAGATCAGTTAGATGCAGATTTGGATGAGCTAAAAAACTATTCTGAATGGATTTTAGCAATCGGTGATGGAAGGATTGGGAGTTCCATTGATGGCATTGAGAAAGTCCAAATCCCGGATGATCTTCTCATAAATAATTGATGATCCAATATCGACAATTGTTGAAAGTACATATCCAGATTTCTTTAACCATTCCAGTGACATTGATTACCTCCAACAAAGAGAAATTCTTGCCCCGACTCTTGATATGGTTGAGTCGATCAATGAATATATGGTTTCACTCCACCATAGTCCTGAGAAGACATATTTGAGTTCTGATACATTTTGTATGTTTGATCATTCTTTTTCAGCTTTGGAACACGTACATACACCCGAATTTTTAAATAGTATTAAATGTTCTGGAATTCCAAATCACTCTATTACTTTGAAGGTTGGTGTTCCTGTGATGTTGCTGAGAAATATAGACCAGTCATCAGGATTGTGTAATGGCACGAGGTTGATCATCACAAGACTTGAAAATCGAGTTAGTGAAGCCAAGGTTTTATCGGGTAATATGGCTGGACAAAAAGTGTTTATCCCGAGAATGACATTGACGCCATCAGATGCAAGAATACCTTTTAAGTTCCAGCGAAGACAATTTTCCAATTGTTGTATCTTTTGCCATGACAATTAATAAAGTCAAGGCCAGTCATTGTCTCATGTGGGATTATTTTTGAAGAAGCCAATATTTACTCATGGACAACTGTATGTTGCTCTTTCACGCGTGACGAGTAGAAAAGGGTTGAAGATTTTAGTTTATGATGATGATGGCCAAATAACGAATGAAGCTAGAAATGTGGTGTATAAAGAAGTTTTCCGTAATTTGGTTTGAGATGAATCTAGACATGATGGAATTATCTGGTATTTACAAGAAATCAAGCAGTTGAAAAAATGGCACAACTTTTGACTTATAGGTGTCATGGCACAAATTTGAGCTATATGGACAGACTTTGTGTGATTGAGCACAAATAGTACTGTTATGCACTCCCTTCCTCTTTTGTTTGTCCTTGGTTTGCTCTTACACATTTAGAACAAAACTTGTCTTCAGGCTGTTGTCAGCAATTTGGGGGTGACTTATCCCTGATACAACAACTTTTTTCTGGATGGACACGTAGTACTGTACAAGCTAAAATACAAGAAAGAAGAGCAGCAACATCCATTTAGACTTCAATGGTGGCCAAAGAGTTACTTTCTTCATACCCGATGGATATTTCTCATTGTATCCTTCCTATGACTCCATGTCTTAAGTCAGTCTTCAGATTTGATATCTTAGGTAATGTATCTTGATTAAACTCTATATATTGTTATGAGTTTTGTGCTTCCTCAACTGAATGTTTACTGCTGCAGTTGTCCACTCTCCAAGAAAAAGAAAAAACCTGCATAATGTATTTTCATTGATTTTGTGCACTTTTTTCTTGTATGATCTGTTTGCAAAATGTTTGGCTAAATAAAATGAAGCTTAAATGTGAGTGGTTCATGTGATAATTGGTGTTTTCAGCGCTATACTTTTTAGATATTCAAAGTTGACTTCATTTCCTAGCAGCAGCAAAATAACAATTGTGATTCATATTATTTATCGCATATTTGTTGTTAGCCATACACTTAAGCATGGTGAGATATTTGCCCTCTTGCCTGCTCTGTAGCTTTTACTAACCTTCTGGTCATAATCCAGGGTCTTTTATTTTTTGATGTAAGAAGTGAATGTTGTTCTCTATGTACAATTCCTTAACCGTAGAAATAGCCATAATGTTTTGCTGGAACACATCTCATAGAGGTGTAACAAATCGTTCCAAAGGTAAATTTTCTTCAACTCTCCCTACTGCACTTTCATTTATTTATTTTTCACTGCATCACCAGATGTTGGTGTGCTTATCATTGTTGGCACTGTAGCCTTCTCAATATCAACGACGACATTATCTGATTTTCCATCCTTTTTCATCAGAAGAGGAGCAGTTTCACTGGTGACTTCATTGTCTTCAGACTTCTGTTCCTCAACTACTGAGGGAGGCTTTTTACTTTTCCCTTTAGCCTTCACCACTGCAGCCATATGACTGCTACCTTTCTGAAACTCATTTAGTATGTCATATAGCGGCATATCAGCAGGAACACTGGTAAGATGTATGAAAAACAATGATGTTAGGTTATTAGTTCATACATGCCAGCAGCGATAAGCACACCAACATCTGGTGAAAATAAATAAAAATTAGGGGATATTTTAGGATTTTTTATTCTTAATTTCATCTTGGTTACCCACATAAGTGATGTTGATTGCAAGATTGTATTTTTTCTCCTTTCTCCTGCGAATTTACTGTTTCAATTTGTTGTAAAACTTCATCTTTCTACTTATGATTTGCAATTTCAGTTTTCTATAGGGAATGACGTGGACTTGATGTTCGGGAAATAATAGAGAATTTTTTTGTATATTTCTTTAGGAAGAAGTTGCTCTGAAGGCCCAATCTTTAGGCAATTGATAGGTTCAATACTCTCAAATTGGACATTCAACCTTTTTGTGGTTTCTTTTAGTTTGGTAGAACTGTGGTTTATAAGACATAAGCCTCCCCATGTTTTCTTTGCCGATTTTGTAGAAGTTTTTACACAATCGATAAGTTGTCTTCTTTTTCATCTAAAGATGGTAATGAATGGCTCAAGAAGAATAGCTTATAATTGGATATGTATAAATTTAACTTTTTGGCCCTATGCTTTAGAACAGGTTATATTGATCTACCCGTTGATTAAAATAACCTCGATTTTATTTGTTCATTAAACAGAGAAAGATAAAGATGAATCATAAAGTCTTGATGATAGCCTATGCACCTACAATTGATGGCTATGCTGGGAATGCTCTAGCAGTTAAGGCCTTAGAGCTATTTTTGGAGATGAGTTGAAGAAGTAAAAGCACATGAGGTAGGACAATTATCCATAAAATATCTCTTATTTTTAATGCCAACAGTATTTGATTTCCTATGTATAAGGTTCTAAGACTGATTCATAATTGTGTTATCTGTTCTGGTTTGGTGTTGCTTTTCTTTCAATGAAATGATCTACCGATTGCATATTATTGATGGAAGACTGATTTTTGTGAAAGTTGCTGAGAATACACAAGCTAACAGAAAATAAAACATTCGGTGAATAACTTTCTTATAATTCAGCATTTACATCATGGGAGATTTTTGGCTATTGCTCAATCCACCAGGGAAATGGTGATGTTTCATTATGTATATCTTGGTGTGGTGAAATATTTATTTAATTTGTTTAGCCTGCCCAAGATATTGAAGCTTCTAAGTTGAGGACAAAATGCAAGCAAATTTATAGAAAACTTGTCATGACCCCAACCCCGGTTGTGATGACGCCCAACACACTGCTAGGCAAGCCCGACCAATTCAACAACCTTAACCCTTTTTATAGAGTTCATGATTCAATTAACACAAATAATTACTAAGTCATAATACTGAAACTCTGAAATATAATTAAAACATGCGGAAAACCCAAGTAGAAATACTACTACACAGCCCGAAGAATCCGGTATCACAAGTCTGAGCCTCTAATACACGGGTGTCAACCTACTACATATTGCACTAAAGAAATGCGGAAATAAAGCAAATAGGTTAGATGGGAAGATCAGGACTGCGGACGTCATGCAGCTACCTTGATGCTCCCAGATATGATGCTCGGTAGAGAAATCCTAACTCAGCCTCAGTGGGTGCAAATAGATCTGCACACAAGGTGCAGGGAGTAATGTGAGTACTTCCAACCCAGAGAGTAATAAACATAAATAAGGGTTGAGAGTAAGAAATCCTGGATAGGCACAATGTAAGCTATAATTACAGCATTTTAATCGAGATAATGTCAACTCAATAAACCAATGAAAACAATGATGCTGCAACAGATAAGTAAATGAATGACAATCAATTAAGACATACAACAAATAGTACGGTACTCTCTAGTACCCGCTGCGGCGTGCAGCCCGCTCCATTTATTTATCGTCGACGGCGCTCACTTGGGGTGTGCAAACTCTGGGAGGGGCCCCTTACGGCCCAAGCGCAATATCAAGCCATCTCGTGGCATCCATTAGGCCCTAAGCCTCATATCTATATCAATATAATACTGCTGCGGCGCGCAGCCCGATCCCATACTCAGTCAAGAATCATATAAGCCCCTCGGGCTCAATAATATAGAAATATTCAGCCCAAACTTCATTAGTAATATTATTTAAGTTCCATGTTTTGAGTAAAAAGTGGCTGAGTTTGCAAAACAGTACTAAATACTAGACTGAGTTCAATTGTCTGAAAATATGGTAAGAAACCAGTAAAAACAATCCCTGAAGGATTCAATCAGTTGGCACGAGGCCAAATTATGACAATTAATCCATTTTTATAAGGATCTCACTAAGCTTCAATCAATTAGGTAGTAATTTTATTAAGCGGGACGGACCAAGTCACGATTTCCAATGGTGCTCTACCCCACGCCCGTTATCCGGCGTGCAAGTCACCTCAACATAGCACTACAATGTGCAAATTCGGGGTTTCAAACCCTCAACACAATATTTACATCTATTAGTAACCTCAAGCCGGCCAAAATCCTAGCTCGCTATGCCATTGCCTCTCAAATAGACCTCCTCGCGCGTTGAATCTGACCAAAGCCACAACGAATACGTCACATTATGCTATAGCATCAATACCCAATCGAAAATACTCGAAAAACATCAATAATCCCAAAATTGACAAAACCCAAGCCCCGTGCCCACTTCTTAAAACTCAGAAATTTTTACAGAAAAGTGTTCTTCATCTTCTCCCGATTCCGTACATATAAAGAACACCAAAATCGGAGTCTGTTTGACCCCTCAAATCGACCCCTAAAGATCTCATAATCTCAGGCCCCAAAATCCTATTTTTCTACTGTTTTTCATGAATTAAAGGCTGGGATTATGGTCTATAATCACCCATAAACGAGTTTTAATAATCAAATCACTTACCTCTGGGATACTCACTGATTTTCTCTCTTAAAAATCGCCTCAGAAGCTTCTTCCCGTTCAAAAATTGGAAGAAAACTTGACCTACTCATTATAGGTATATTGTTCACGCGTTTTACTGCTCCCAATGGATTCCTTGTGAAATTCTAATAAATTTAGGCTTTTGAATCACTCAAGCTGACCTTATAATGAAGGAGATATGTAGGTTTTAAGATTTGCAAATAGTGCAGTCTTTTAATACGCCGTTAGGGGCAATTTCGTCATTAACCTGAAAATCTGGGCAACCTTGGTAAAATGGCCATAAAATCCTCATACGGTGTCCAAATTCGACGATTCTTTTTGCTACGGGTCCGTAATTACGATACAGATCTAATGCTTCATTCAAAACAGTAATAGGAGCTCATTCTTTCAATATGATATCATTTATGCTTGAAGAAACAACGTCGAACCATAAGAAAAACGAGCACAACGCAGCCCAAACCTTTCCGAAACTCACCCGAGCTCCTCGGGACCGCATACGAACATACTAACACGTCACATATGATCATTCAAACTTAGTTGCACTCTCAAAACACCAAAACTAACATCAAAACACCAAATTTACATCGGATTCAAGCCTAAGTTCTTCTAAAACTTCCGAAACACGGATTTGATAAAAAACCCAACAAATCGCCTCCGAATAACCTGAAATTTTGCACACACATCCCAAATCACCTAACGAAGCTACAGAAACTCTCGGAATTTCATTCCGACCCTCGGATCAAAATCCCACCTATCAACCGGAATTCGCCAAAATACTAACTTCGCCAATTCAAGCCTAATTCTACACCGGACCTCCAAAATCACTTCCGATCACACTCTTAAGTCACAAATCATCGCTCGAAGCTAACCGAATCGTCGGAATCCACATCCGAGCCCTCTAACTCATAGGTCAACATCCGGTTGACTTTTCCAAAACAAGCTTTCCTTAAAGAGACTAAGTGTCTCATTTCCTTCCAAAAATCAACCCAATTCAACTCGTTCACACAAGACACTAATAATGAAGCATAACGAAGCAGGAAATGGGGGAAACGGAGCGATTCTCATAAGACGACGGGTCGGGTCGTCACAATAACCAACGGACTTCTAACTTCTTATTTGTACCAATTTAAATATATTTTATTCTTAAGATGGAGTGCACACATTGCAAGGCAATACCTTAATCCAAAATTTTCTTGTAAAAATGTTTAAGTAGAATATTCCACAGATCCACGATATTTAAAAGACCAAAATACATCTAATTGCTCATCATCTTCGTCTCTTTTCCCTATTTAATTTTTTTACTACCCTGAAATTTAATACTCCCTCCGGTCCAAAATAAGTGATTTTTTGGACTTTTTCTTGTGGTCCAAAATAAGTGATTTTTTCAGATTTCAAGAATGAATTAATTATTTTTTTCCTACATTGTCCTTGGAGTAAATAGTGTTGGAATATGTGTTAGGAGTGTTTATGTGAGATAGTAAAGGTTAATATGGTCAATTCCATTGCTAATTAATGCTAAAAGGTGGATTTCTTAATCTGTGTGAAAACATCCAAAAAATCACTTATTTTGGACCGGAGGGAGTAACAATTAAACATAACACTGATTTTAGAAAACCAAATATTTTTCATGAAAAAAATAAATAATCTTCAACAAATCGAATACGACATTGAAATTCTTAAATTAGTAAGAAATAATTAATAGTAAATATATGGAGATATTGCAGAGAGATATTGTATACACTTAATAACAATTTTGATCTTACTAAAAATATTATAATTGCTGTCATACTAGAAAAAAATTCATAAAATCAATTTTATTTCTTTTGAGATAAATTTATACATATAATTGTAACTGCATAAACGAAAAAAGTATTGATTGTTACAAAGACAGAAACCGAAAGAGATAAAAATTATTAGTTATCCTTTGAGCAAAATAAAATATTCTATAAATTTCTATTTTTGATGTGTATTTTTGAAGATAAAAAAAGCTACATGTTCTTCTTTTTTTTTTTCCCTTCTTTTTGTTATTACTTTTATTGTTTTAGAAATAGTAGTCAAATAAAATTTTGAATCGAAAATAAAAGGATTGATAAAAAAATAAATTCCATTAGTTTTAAGGGAAAATATGAGAGAGTTCACTTATGATAAGGCCATATTTGAGATTAATGTCAAACAAAGGACAAATTTATTCTATTTTTCATAGTTGGGGGATAAATATAAATTAATATACTAATGATAAGAGAATGTTTGGGACCGAATTCAATATAAGAGCAATTTTGCTCTATTTTCCATAGTCGAGGGGCATTATTCTCCTTTTTTCCCAATTAAAAAAGAAGGATATCCATTTAAATCACGAGATTTTTTTTTCTGATACACATTTGTGGTTTTCCATGACAATATAAATAAAACTCATGGCCATACTATTTCTAAGGTTGGGATATACTTGTTGCAACATGTTTTCTCACATGAATAATTAGATGTTAAATTTTCAAGAGAAATTTCAATATTGATAACAGAAGTTTGGTCATGACAATGCAAATAAAGCGACGAAAAGAAAAATACACCAAGAACATCGTGTATAAAGAAATATTAAGCTTAGACGCATATCGACATAGAACTTAATTATCTCATAAAATAAAATACCGAAATTATAGACACAACATAACTAACTTAACTAAATTGTTCATTATGCAAGTTCAGAAGATATTTAATTATTTTGATTTCAGCAACTACGTCAATATAATACTAACATCATTTTGTCATCTAATTGAGTGTTGCATATATTTTAACGTAAATTGCTATTTTACATAATTTACTTCTTGTATAGAATTTCTAGTTTGTTTACTTGTGCAACGCATGCATAAAACTAGTATATCTAAAAATTCTAGAGTGTATAATTAAAAAAAGATCACTTTTATGTAACATTTTTGAAAAATAGCAAAAAAGAGCCATCTCCATTCCAGTACTTTCAAGTTCCAAAGCTATCGCCCGCCAGAGAAGGAAAAAAGTAATGAAAGTGGGGAACTTTTTTCTTTTTTTCCAAAGTAAAGTGGGAGACTTTACAAATTCTTTAGCAACGACATGACTTGACTTGAGTGCCAGGAAAATTGTGAACCAAAGAAAAGTAAT